GCCAGGTGTGGTGGCACACGTCTGTAGTCCAACTATTTGCCATGCTGAGGCAGGAGGATCACTTGAGCTCGGGTGCTTGAGGCTACTATGAACTGTGATCAGACTTTTGCACTCCAGTCTGGGCAAAAGCAAGACCCTGTCTCTAAAAAGTAAATCAATAAAAAGACTTGTACTCATTTTTCATGTTAGTATTTTTTAGTTTTACATTTCTCTTGCATGCTTACTTTTAAAATAATTGAACTAACCTCTCTGTCTTTTTTCGTTATTGCATGTAAATCTACAGCCTTCTGATACAACCTAGGCTTGCAGAATCTTCTATCCATCACCTTCCTAGTATGGCTCTTGGCCCTTATTCCAGCAATTAGTTGCTTAAAACAAAGCCCTTTGTGTTGGTAGTGGTACTATATAACTTAGTCTATGCACTGTTGGACAAGGGGATTGACACACTCTTCCCTTCCCTACCACTGCAGTGGGAAGATCATTTAGAAGACTAAGTTCGATTTGAACCTAGGGCCCAAATTACCTACTGCAAATCAATCCTCCGCCTCCCCCTGCCCCTCGCAAAAGCTAGAATTTAGTGTGAAAGGTGACAGGCATACGTTCAATGCATTGTCTCTATGTTGACATATGGTCAGTATGAGGAAAAGGTCCCTAATATAGATCTGTCCCGTGGCATGACCAGCATGTTGTGGATTTCTGACAAATGCAAAGCAGTGAAGGAGCTTGAGTTCAAAATACAAATATTTTCAGTGTTCAAATTTCCTGTTTTTATTTTTTCCATAAGGACCAGACTCATTGATGGCAAGTCGTCATCATCTTGCTGTAAATTTATAACACACTGATGAACAAGACCTTGGAGGAACTTGTAAAAGGAAGTCACTGAGGCCTTGTATCTTTAGGTGTCCGTTTTGGAGAGTGTATATATGCATGTGTAAGAAGCGTAGGGGTGAAAGGGTCATGAAAACCTTTGGTTGAAAAAGGTGATGGGGTCGTAATGTGTGTAAGAAAATCTTTGTACTTTTCAGTTAACAATTCTACAAAATGAGAGCTGTCTTGGGAAACTGGGCTTTATTAATTCAAAAGTATATCAAATGCTTTATCTCTCATGTTTAAAATTGTTTGAACAGACACTTAAATAAATGTTGAACATCGGACTTTGCCTGATTGCTGTTCCTTTCTATGGGAAAAATATAAACCCTGATAGTAGGGCTTATATCTTTTTAAACCCTTATATTTTTATAAACCCTGATAATAGGGAAAAAGATAAACCCTATTACCAGGGTTTTTCCTACTATTTTTCCTACTATTCCCCTTAGATAACAGTAGGAAAAAATGTTGGTCCCCACAAAGTTTTCATTCATCTCACCTCTCTGTTCCCCGTTTGTGAGAAGGAATACGAAGCTGCACAGGCTCCCCTTTTAGTAGCAGAGTCCAAAACTAGGGAGTCAGATCACGTGTTAAAATTACAGTATTGCACCATGCATCTTTGATTTGTATTTGCAGCCTTCCCACTACTTGGATTAAGTCGTAAAAATCACATCATCCAGTGGCAAAGTTGTGTATCTCTTTGTGTTCTTTGTTGCAATTAGCAACTCTTGTTAACCAGGAGAGACCTTAGTGGAAGAATATTAGGAATATATAGAATTGATGAGAAGACAAAAGAATTAGGGTTGAAGTAAGCAACAAGGCAATTCTGGAGTTCCAGGAACCATGGACTACTTGAAGGTGTTTGTACTAAGTCCCACCAGGCCTTGTACTAATTGCTCTCTGGGCAGGAATATGGTAGTTAGCCAACCTTTTTTGGTCTTCTGTGCCAGTACTTACAAGGAATTCCCAGGGAAGGAGCATCCAGCTGGCATAGCTTGGGCCATACGAACATACCTTAATAGAGGAAGGGTGAACCCAATTGCAATCTCACCAGGCCTTGTATACAGAAAGACCATTCTTCAAAGGCAAATTCAGATGGATTTACTGGAGGAAGTTATTTAAGCAGCGAAAAGAATCAAGCAGTCACCCCAGGATAGTAGAAGGGATTAAGGACAGAAGCAGCCAGTACTAATTTTCCTTGGTAAATGAGGGTTAGAAAAATGTGCATATGTGCACTGGCTTTGAGGCAGGTCTCTCTGTTTCTGGCTCTCTCTATCCTCCCCCTCCCCCACCCATCCCTCCCAAGCAGTTACACTGTGATTTGTTTTGAGAAATTAGGTTTTTAAAAAAGTCCTCATGACCGCTTCAATGTTTACCCTATTTACCCTATGGCACAATTTACCAGTTGTTAAATCTGCTCTATCCATAACTGCCCAGCTGTCAAGAATTTTACATTTAAATGTATTTATCAGTAGTGAAACTTTGACCTTCTGGACTCACCTGGATAAATTAATTCATCCCTTTGTCTGATTTTAGTTGGTGGTTGGAGATAATTTGTGTATATAGCATACACAGTTACCCAACTTTGCTTCATGATTAAAGCTGTAACTTTAAGGAAATAGTTATCCTGCCTAACTTTGTTATTAGAGAAATGATGATGGAATATCCTACATCTTATGTACACTTTCTGTATTTTCAAAGGAGAGTGCAGCCTTTCAAAAAGAAATGAATTTTAATATCCTGGACTGTAGTGAGGGTGCATATCTTTTTGCTTTCTATGAATGTTTAACAAGCTATAGCAGACCTCCTAGGTATAAGGAAAAAAATGATTAAATGCAGTTTTATCAAATTAATTTAAAATAATGATTTAGTGACACTTCTATTTGAGTCCCTGTAAAGCTCTAAATTTCTGTAGCTCCTACCTTCAACTTCTAAACCATTAGTGTAACGCTAAACAAAACCACTGCAGACATTCTGAGCGTTACTTGGAGGTATGGTGGGAAGTTGACCTACTGTGTTTCTCTTTCAGCATCCAGTCCTGGATGAGCCAATAGCTGAAGCTGTCTGTATTATCGCAGACACGGATAAATGGAGTGTGCAGGTGGCTACAAGTCAGAGGAAAGTGACGGACAACATGAAACTAGGCCAGGATGTCCTAGTCTCTAGTCAGGTGTCCAGTTTGCTTCAGTCCATTTTACAGCTCTACAAGCTTCACCTCCCTGCTGATTTTGTAAGTACTGGTTCTTATATCACCAAAGAAACCTAGTTTTAAAATACTTTTAATGACATTTTGATTATAAAATCACAAATTCAAAAGTACTGTTTTAATATAATTGAAGGTTAGCATAACTAAAACTAGAACATGCAACATAAAACCAGCAACAGAATATATTTCAGTAATAACAGCTCTTCTGTGAAACAAATAACGAGGAGCAACACTGGAATTTTTTGGAACAAGGTATATGGTGCAGTAAATAAGGAATGGGTGGAGAGATCAGAAAAGGAAACTGTAAGTCAACTCATGAGTTCTCCTTTTATTAGATTGATATTATAAGTAGGCCAGTTTCTGAAGGGATTGTAGTTCCTTTTGTTAAGTAGACATTTTCACAAAGGTTTTAAGGATAAAATAGAATATCGTTTGTGTAAACATTTCCAACTTTGAAGTACTAAAACACATGTAAGATTATATCAATTGTTGCTTTTTTTTTTTTAAGACAAAGTCTCACTCTATCATCCAGGCTTGAGTAGTGCAGTGGCGTGATCTCTGCTCACTGCAACCTCCGCCTCCTGTGTTCAAGTGATCCTCCCACCTCAGCCTCCTGAGTAGTTGGGACTAGAGGCATGTGCCACCATGCCAGCTAATTTTTGTTATTTTTTGTAGAGATGGGTTTCGCCATGTTGCTCAGGCTGGTCTCGAATTCCTGGGCTCAAGCAGTCCACCCGCCTCTGCCTTCCAAAGTGCTGGGATTATAGGTGTGAGCCACCTCGCCCGGCCTAATTGTTTCTTTCCAAATAGGATTTTAAAATCACTTTTGTAATAATACTTTAAACACAAACAACAAACAGAGCCTATACACTCTTAGAAAAGTATCAGTAGCTCCAGCTCCCCGCTAGCCACTGGAATTAACATGCACAACAAAATCTTCTCAGTATCTGCCTATGTGCAGAGAAATTGAAAGAAAATACATTTAGAGAGGGAAGGGGAAAGGTTTCAAAAGAAGAAAAGCTTTTCCAGTGATGATGAACACTTAAAAAGAGAGAGAGAGAAGCTTAAGGGCACATGGCATATAGCTGGGTAGAGCCTGGATGGGCTGACCTCAGAGACAGGTGTGTGAGGAAAGAGTCTGCTTTCTCTGCTGTTCCCTACTGTCTGCACAGCCCCTAAACCAAACCATCTGTTGTCTGCCTCCTGGCCTCCAAAACTGATGCAAACCTGTTTACCCAACAAAGCAGGACGTTTTTAAATATTAATTACCTACACTAATTGCTAATGCAGTGGTCATTGTCCTGGGTTTTTATGACCAAATCTATACTTGTACCCATTCCTCAAAAAGAGTCAAGACTTTTATGGCTTTGAAGAAGGTGCTCTGAAATACCATCCGGTTGTTATCAAAGTCGTGACAGTGTGGCAAAGCAGGAAGACCACTGAGCGTAGCTGGGTTATGGTCTAGGCTTTGCCGTTGGTTAGTTGCGTAACAATGGACAATTCTGAGTCTCTCCGAACATCAGCTTTCTTATTTGTAAAAGGAAGATAGTACCTGTTCAACAAGGGTACTGTGAGAATCTTCTGAAAATTAGGGATGTAACTGCGTTTTACTGCCAAAGCACCATGTCAATATTACAAGATACTTTAAAAGCCATATATGTTAGCTTTAGAGTCCAATAGCCTGGGGTCAAATCCAAGTTCTGCTACTTCCTAACCATGTAACCTTTCAAAGCCTTAATTTCCTTGTCTGCAAAGCTGGGGAAATAATAGAAGCTATCTCATATGGTTATGAAATTATATTAGAGAATGAATGTAAAGCACTTGGAATAGTGTTAGATGTTATAAGCACTCAGTAAACAGTTACTATTAGTATGATAGTCAATAACAATTAGTTTCATGAAACAATGGTTGCAAAGACTGACAACAACTTTTTTCCAAACTCTTTATTTGGGCTTTAAGCTGAAGCGTACTCTTGCAAGACATCTGTCCTGGGGCAATATGAGAAGCACTTATGGATTATTATGGTCTTATTTTTTGTTCTACAGTAGTAGGCAGTTTCTCCTTCTAAAAGCAGGTTGAGTTATGCTGATTTAGAGGCTAATGTTTCCTTTTCTGTAAGAGAAGAAATGTATATTAGACTTCATAGTTTACTTCATAAGTATTTGCCAAACTTTTATATTTCATTCTATAATACATAGGTCTTGTCATAGTTGATATCTTGGTTATCAAAGCAATAAATTGTTATAGCTAATTCTTTTTACTTCATTTGGACAGAAGTATGTTCAAGCACTTACTAGTATGAATGACTTATTTAACCTGACAAAACCAAGATCAAAGAAAATTTTATCTGCAGTTTAAAATTCTCCTTTAAAAAATCACTTGAATGAAACCTGTGATGAAATGGCTTTTAGAACCTTCAATATAAAAAGAGAAAGTATCTATTTGAAATTTCAGAAGTTAAAAATTGGAGAAATCCATGTCAGGAATAAAATCCCAGAAAGGATTTAAAAAAAAAAAAAAAAGCCCCCAGCATGGTTCCATTGAATAATCAAGTCTTTTAAAAAATGTTTTTGTTTTTTTTTTTTTTGAGACAGAATCTCATTTTGTTACCTGAGTTATAATGCAGTAGTATGATCTTGGCTCGCTGCAGCCTTGACCTCCTGGGCTTAAGCAATCCTCCTACCTCAGCCTCCTGAGTAACTAGAACTACAGGTGTGTGCCACTATGCCCAGGTAATTTTTTAATTTTTGTAGAGACAGGGGCTCCATATGTTGCCTAGGCTGGTCTTGAACTCCTGGGCTCAAGTGATCCTCCTTCCTCAGCCTCCCAAAGTGCTGGGATTACATTCGTGAGACACTGTGCCTGGCTAAAAGTTGTCTAAATGCTTTGATTTCACATCTAGTATATATTTCATATAGACCACAGTTTTTATTTCCACATTGCATCATACAGTTTTCATATAGACTGTGAACACTGTAATTACTTTTTCCAAACAGAAAGGATTCAATGTAATATGAATATTGTTTTTAATATTTTGTGACTCTTACTAAAAATTTTCTGTTTCACTCCATAAGGAACTTGAAGCTAATAAGAGATCCTTTTACCACTTTGTTTACTTGGAGGAGCATTTCCATGAGAATTGGTGAAATCCTCCTTGCTTTATTACTCTTAGTCACTTAGCAGTTGTGTTTCACCCACCTGACACAATGCATTTAAGATTTTAAACCAATGAAAAACTGAAAAGATTGAATCTCTGATAGATATTTTTTCCATGTCACTGATCAGCCCAGATGGTCAAGATCAACATTTTCAAATGCATCTGTTAATCTTTTTACCTTGAAAATAACAGGCCTAATGGTCTAGAAGAAAATTATGTATGATGGAATTACCCTTGCCAAAGCCATCAGGTGTCTTACTGAAGATGCTTGAGTAGCTCTGCCTGCCAAATGCAAAAGCATTTGCCTCTGGTGAAAGACACAGATGGTTGCTGTTCTCTAAAAAATGAAGCTGAACACAATTCCAAGGGTAAAGATGTCCTGAAAATAATTGCCTTTTCTTTATTGTTTTTAAAGACCTAGTTAAAATATTATTGAAAGCAAAAGAAAAAAAAAGTTGTGGGGGAGGTTCAGAATGACCTGTTCCAGTCGGTCTCCTATGGAAATGTACTGGGCCAGAGTAATCTGAGATATTGGGGGAAAAAACAACAAAAACCATACTGTTTACTAAATTATTCACAACAAAAATGCAAATTGCTGTGTGGTTACGTGTAAATTCACATTCTCAAGATTGTTTAGCTATAAAAATTATATCAAGGAGTTCTTAATGTGGAAAAGGATTATTATAAAGTTTTTAAAGGCAAGACACATACTTTTGGAATGATTTCAACTCTGAAAAAATACTTGTTTAGAAAGACTAGAATAATACATACGTAAATCTTAATAGTTAGCAAAAGTAAACTTTGTTTTACAAGAACCTATTCTCATACCTGGTAGTGGTAGGGTTTGAGATGGCTTGTGATTTTTTAACTGTATTTGAAACAGATGAGATTAAAGCTGTGTAGTTAGAAATGAATTAAGAAAATTCTGACTTTTAAAATACTGGCAGAGATTTGACTTCTAGCCCTCATTGTGAATGTTCTTGGCTTTGCAGTGCATCATGCATCTTGAAGATAGACTACAGGAGATGTACCTTAAAAGCAAAATGCTGTCTGAATATCTCCGGGGACACACACGAGTCCATGTGAAAGAATTAGGTGTCGTACTGGGGTGAGTTCTGGGAAGCGCCACCACTTCTCCCTTTGATGGGTATCCCTAGCGTTGTACCCACTGACATGTTTAGCCTGTGCCACCCTAAACCTGAGGCCCTGGTAACCCATCAAAGTATGTGGAGTCCATCAGATACGTGCCTCTGCAGCTCCCCAATGAACAGCATGTGCCTTTATCTGATACTGGGTTTCACACCCACAGAGAATCACAGGACTTTAGGCTGGTCATGCTTTGTTACGCCTCTCCGTTAATCCCACACTGCCCGTTTCTAGTAACTAAGACACTGAAGTCACAAGCTGTGGGACATGCCGCAGCAGCTTGTGTTTACATTTCACTTCCTGGAGGAGGAGTAGATGGGCACATTCCACCTCGTGGCAGGAAAGGCCCTTCTAGGCTGGAGGAGCCTGCCTGCATGTCTGTGGGGGGACAGTGCTTTCCTTCCCTTATTATAAGCCCACCGAAGAGGAGACTTGTATGTTACTAAAAATGCCTATCATCCTCCAGAGGGTATTTGCCATCATTTCTCTAGGGGAAGTAATTCTGACTTTTGTTTTACTGTCTGCTTGATATTTCAAAAGAGAACAGAAAGACATTGTACATTTGGGGAATTGCCCCCCTTATCCATGATGATGATTCCTCTTACTTGGGAGAAGAAAATATTGTTTATAATGTCGACGTTTAAATTCTCAAAGCCTCCTAAGAGACTGGGGCCTTCATATTTTCTTTAGATTTCTCATCTTTCACACTCAGAATGTGACACCTGTGTTGTTTGGCTCTTGGCATTTCCTGTCATAGATTATTCTTACATACTTTATTTACAAAGTATTTTCCCCTTATGAGGTATTTGCTTTTGCAGTTAACTTGCAACATGTCCCTTTGTCATTTATTTTTTTGCATTTTATATCTCTCTACCAGCCTCATACTTCAATCCTGCCTTATTAGATTTTTTTTTTATATATATACTTTTAAGTTCTGGGAAACATGTGCAAAACGTGCAGGTTTGTTACATAGGTATACACATGCCATGCACGTTTACTGCACCCATCAACTCGTCATCTACATTAGGTACTTCTCCTAATGCTGTCCCACCCCCAGCCCCCAACCCCCCAATAGGCCCCAGTATGTGCTATTCCCCTCCCTGTGTCCTTGTGTTCTCATTGTTCAACTCCCACTTATGAGGGAGGACATGCGGTGTTTGGTTTTCTGTTCTTGTGTTAATTTGCTGAGAATGATGGTTTCCAGCTTCATCCACGTCCCTGCCAAGGACACGAACTCATCCTTTCTATGGTTGCATAGTATTCCATGGTGTATATGTGCCACATTTACTTTATCCAGTCTATCATTGATAGGCATTTGGGTTGGTTCCAAGTCTTTGCTGTTGTGAATACTGCCGCAATAAATATACGTGTGCATGTGTCCTTATAGTAGAATGATTTATAATCCTTTGGGTATATACCCAGTAATGGGATTGCTGGGTCAAATGGTATTTCTAGTTCTAGATCCTTGAGGAATCACCACTGTTTTCCACAGTAATTGAACTAATTTAGTTTCCCATCAACAGTGTAAAAGTGTTCCTATTTCTCCACATCCTCTCCAGCATCTGTTGTTTCCTGACTTTTTAATGATTGCCATTCAAACTGGCCTGAGATAGTATCTCATTGTGGTTTTGATTTGCATTTCTCTGATGATCAGTGATAAGCTTTTTTTCATGTGTTTGTTGGCCACATAAATGTCTTCTTTTGAGAAGTGTCTGTTCATATCCTTTGCCCACTTTTTGATGGGGTTGTTTTTTTCTTGTAAATTTAATTTCCTTGTAGCATCTTCACATTAGCCCTTTGTCAGATGGATGGATTGCAAAAATGTTCTCCCATTCTATAGGTTGCCTGTTCACTCTGATGATAGTTTCTTTTGCTGTGCAGAAACTCTTTAGTTTAATAAGATCCCATTTGTCAATTTTGGCTTTTGTTGCCATTGCTTTTGGTGTTTGAGTCATGAAGTCTTTGCCCATGTCTATGTCCTGAATGGTATTGCCGAGGTTTTCTTCTAGGGTTTTTATGGTTTTAGGTTTTATGTTTACGTCTTTAATCCATCTTGAGTTAATTTTTGTATAAGGTATAAGGAAGGGGTCCACTTTCAGTTTTCTGCATATGGCTAGCCAGTTTTCCCAACATCGTGTATTAAATAAGGAATCCTTTCCCCATTTCCTGTTTTTGTCAAGTTTGTCAAAGATCAGATGGTTGTAGATGTGTGGTGTTATTTCTGAGGCCTCTGTACTGTTTCATTGGTCTATATATCTGTTTTGGTACCAGTACCATGCTGTTTTGGTTACCATAGCCTTGTTGTATAGTTTGAAGGCAGGTAGCATGATGCCTCCAGCTTTGTTTGTTTTGCTTAGGATTGTCTTGGCTGTGCAGGTTCTTTTTTGGTTCCATATGAAATTTAAAGTAGTTTTTTCGAATTCTATGAAGAATGTCCATGGGAGCTTGATGGGGATAGCATTGGATCTATAAATTACTTTGGGCAGTATGGCCGTTTTCACAATATTGATTCTTCCTATCCATGAGTATGGAATGTTTATTTATTTGTGTCCTCTCTTATTTCCTTGAGCAGTGGTTTGCAGTTCTCCTTGAAGGGGTCCTTCACATCTCTTGTAAGTTATATTACTAGGTATTTTATTCTTTTTGTAGCAGTTGTGAATGGGAGTTCACTCATGATTTGGCTGTTTGTTATTGGTGTATAGGAACGCTTGTGATTTTTGCACATTGATTTGGTATCCTGAGACTTTGCTGAAGTTGCTTATCAGCTTAAGGAGATTTTGGGCTGAGACGATGGGGTTTTCCAAATATA